GTTTAAAGCTGATAATATATATCAATTTCTCTTAGAGAGCATTATAATTTCGTGAAGAGTCTAGCTTTTAAGTATTACAATGCTTTCCCGAAATCAAATGCATGGGGAAAAAGGATGAAAATCTAACCATTAAGTCCCTGAAGGGGGGGGGGTGTTAATATCCACTAGCAGTGTCTACCACCTGCAAATCCTAAAAATATTGTACGAACGACACACAACTGAATAGCATTTTCAATAATAAACTCATATATAATATGAACCTTCAAATTCTAGGTCCCTGTAAATACCTTAGAAGTCTGATCAGCGACCCCATTCATACAACAAGGTCATATTTTCATATATGAAAGTGAAACTTGATTCATTAATATATTATAATCATATTAAGAGCATGTGTTGAAGTCACTGACATGTTTAAGTATCTTAAAATATATAGTTTGAAGACAGTGCATGCCAGTCTGTACACAATATACATGTGTACCAGTGACAAATGAGGGAAATTCAACTCTTCCTAACTCAACATTTCTTTTAAATGTGAACATGACATTTCGTAAATAGGAATATAGTGGTTAAATTATCAAGATGTCTTTTTATGTCGCTTTCTTTATTAGGTATTTTAAAATATATCATCTGACGACACATATTTTCACTTATGTCTACAGACAATCACAAATTCTCCGTATATCCTTCTTCAGAATCATACCATCTAAAATCTAAAACCTAACCTTGTATCCTATATATCTCTTTATGTCTTTTAATCCAAACTTCGTTCTGTCAACAATATTTTTTTTCTCTTTTCAGTTGTCACGTACTCACTCTCATTTCTTTAACACTATTAATTAGGTCATGTAACAATTGATGTAAGAATATACGTTTAAATATCTTAATATATATTGTCAAATAAAATAGTCAGGCTGTTTTTGAGTCAAGTCCAATTAACTATGAACCGTCCAAACAAAGTATCAACATGTGTGTTCGTAAAAATGTCACCTCGATAACGGAACAAAATCACTGCCAGGAAAAAAAACTAAAATTAGGACACACTTTAGAATGGATTTTAGCAACATAATGATATACAATACATCGTGAAATTTATATGAACAAATGCTTAAATGGTTTGTACGCCGTATTAACTACAGGAATTATAACTTACCTGTATTGGTTACGTTTTATCTAGCCAGACACTTTTCGATCAAAACAGAAGCCATGTTTGTTTCCAGGTACGCATCATCTTTGTCACAAATACGCTGTCGTAATAGCTTAGAAGCAAACACATTCGCGACAATGATCAACACCAAAGAAGAGCGTGTTATGGCGGGAAAATAGAGTAAACGGTGTATTCCAGGGTAATCACTTCCAGAGTGCATTGCTGTACCCCAATAACACCCATGCAAACGGCCCCACACCATTTCAAGATTTTTGAAAAACGTATTTGTGTCCAACGACAAATTATTCCATTATTTTTCTGTTTTGTTTGTATAACTGTTTTAAAAACAGGTGTTTGTTCATATGGTAACAAATGTTAATGTTTATTTAGCGGAAGATTAAGTTTAAGTAAACAGTCCCCAACCGTCGTGTTTACATTTTTTACTTCACTGTTCAACTACCGACATGTTTTTGAGACAATATGATATACATGTAACAATTAATATATCATTATAATCTTATACGAAGCTGGTTTCTTATCTTAAAATGTAAATCTATTGCTGGACCTTATGTAAATTTGCACTAAATTATTCAACGATTTTGGCATTTCATCTGGATTTTCAGAAAAAAATAACTGTATCATCAGCATACAAAAGTATAAATAAAATGTATGTGAATCTGAAGTTCACTCAAAATGATTTCGTTTAAATTTTCAAGAGGGGCACTGTCTATTGAAAACGTATACTGTTCCAGGTCATTTAAAACAAGAGTGCCCTGGACACAATATACGCCGCCACAAAGTATAACGATCAAGAAAAACCGTAAAATCGCCACTTCCAGCACATCCACCTACTGTAGTAGTGACATTGAGCAAGTTTCGTGAAAATCTGATCATAAGTTTAGGAGGAGTTACATTCACAAGGCTCCACTATGAGCAAGCTACAGGTACAAAGTTGAAAATGGCATAAATCTTACAAAAATCAAAGAACCGAAAAATCGCCTCTTCATGCACATCTGCCCATTGTAGTAGTGACATTGAGCAAGTTTCATGAAAATCTGATGGCCAGTTAAGGAGGAGTTGCGTTCACAAGAAATAGACGTACGTACGGACGGACGGAGAAGATGACGCCAACATACGACAGTCTCCGGCGGCGTACACAATTGGAAAACAAAAATGGGGACATGGTTTCCCCTTGCCTGACACCGATCAGACAGGGGGAAAAGTCCGAGGTTTCTGAATGAAAGCTCACACAAGATTTAATATTGTAATACATGTGATAAATTACCTTAAAACATTTACGACTTATTCCGTTGTTATTCAATTTCTGCCAAAGTCCCGTTCTCCACACTGTGTCGAAAGCCTTACGGAAATCGGCAAATGTACAATAAAGCTTATTTACCAGAGGACAAATATCTCTCCCTTTAGCGCGAAGATGTTACCGTCTCGTGTCCGAAAGGAATGATTTTTTTTGTCATGCCGACGTTTATTTAACTCGTTCACTATCATCTGTCGGTGTGAGGTGAGGGACTCTACTATCATTGTCCTGTGCTCGTTACCCTTCACCATTTTCTGTTTGTCGAGAACCATCTGACGATCATAGTATCGCACAAATCTAGCGATGATTGTAACTGTACTATCAGAAATTTGACTCAAGATGTGACATCTAGATATAGCATGAGGGGACATACACGAGCTCGTATGCCCTTACGGAACAGGCATATCAAAAAAATTCAAAGAAGTTCCTCTCGATATCATTTTGATTCTCGATTTTCTTTTCCAGTAGATCAATACAGTTTTTCAGTGTTGCTTTTTCATTTTCATGCACTTCCACATTCTTTAATGCTACTTCTTCTCTAAGAGATGAGGGTCAGATAGAATTTTACTCTCAACACAGCTGGCTATCATACGACCTATACTGTCGTTGGATTCCATAATATCTTTAACCGAGCTCTCGATCATAGGGCGAAACTCATCAATCAATGTGGTCTTCAATACCTGAACGACTAGATGTGATACAGGACCCACAAGCTCATCTACCATGCGTGTAATAACATCTGGTTTTATTGGGATGTCAGGCTTTAGTGAACAAACTCCTTCTGAATGGCCGGAGGACTGGGTGTGGCTGGGCGGGGTTTCGGAAATTTGCGCTTCGAATTCGAAACATTAGAGTCTGGACTAGAAGAAGTATCTGGGGTGAGTCTTGTAACACCGGTTTGTACAGGAGATTAATAAATCTTCGCTTGGTCTTCAGTTATCGAAACATTTTTCAACACCGCTCACCTGAGACGTACATGTACGTGAACGCGCTCCGTCCACGGTGAGTCCATGCTTCGACATATTCATTGTCCTCCAAAGAATTCAAAATTACTCCACAATAAACACAGAAAAAACCGAAAGTTCCGCCACATATCTGACAAAAGTTTTGTGAACATGACACAAATTGAATCTGAAAAATCAACAGAATACAATCTTCGACGTACAAACAGACCTGTCCTCTATGCCATCACGTGATTGAACAACTGCAACTGTAGATTAAATAACATAAATTTGCTCATGCATTAAACTTCCTTTATGTTATTTTACAAATAAAAGATATTTAGTTTTGTTTTGCCTTTAATATCTAATCTAATATTAGATACAGAGTAAAAAATAAAGAAAAACATATTTCTACCTTCTTCTACCGCATGCGTGCCGACCCTCACGATCTGATGACGTCACACATGTTTTTGGGCGTCATGAATATTAATGAGTTGAGTGAGGCTATTTTCCCACATGAATCACTCCGCTCGTGTGCGAAACCTTGTGGACAAGACGAAAAGATTTATTTGTTTCTTTGATGTACATCAAACGAATCTCGAGGTCGCATAACGGTATATTGTAATGACTTTAAAGTTGGATGTCGCTCCTGTGTAATCTTCAAAAGTCAAAATAGATTATTGATTCTAGATCTATTGAATGTAGAATTTGAAATGTCAATTTTCCTTTCAAAATGGAAAATTGAACTGTATTTGTCTCTTAAACTTATCATTTATGGTAATAAAAGTTACACTAGTGGAAGTTTAACACAAGTCACTTCTTGGGGTTCAAAATTGTAGCCCCTAGGTATTACTTATCCTATCGAGAGGCTCTACTGTAGCTGAGTTTTTTTTAATGTAAGGACATATTGACGTTTCGAAGACTTCCTTTTAGAGCAGAGCCACGCCCACCGTGCACCTTGGATGATTGGTTAAGAGGTTTGTTGTCTCTTTGACTCCTTCCATCTTCGGGTATAGTCTCACCCCCGGATGTTGTCTGCCGACCCCCACCATCCACCCGTTTTAAGTATTTGTTATATGGTTCCATAAAGGGGTCTGTTTGGGTATAAATTCATTTGCATACATGGTACACAGTTTCACTTATAATTCAATGCAACTAATAAAATTAACCTGTTGAAAGTTATTTCTGTTTAAAATAACAAATTAGGTAACAATATTTTCACGAAAAGCTTAAATATAGTGAGATTTTGAAGCTATTTGGTTCATTTGCAACAATATTTATTTCTACGGGAGACCATGGGTTATGTCCCCTTATCGTCAGTCGAGTCGTAAGCACGTGAGCGCACAGGTAGAATGGGGTCAGTCATGGATGAGTGATTGTATAAGACTTGGACTAGGAGATCCGTGCAGCCACGGTTATATAGGTATCTTGTGTACCTGTAGGTTACACATCTACTACTCCGTAATAGTACGATATATAACATGTCGGACTTATTTCGAATTTGAATCCGTGATAGAATAAATAACCATGCTCAAAATCACAAACAAAAGATAATGATTATTATAAAAATCAAAGTGTTACAAATCAGATCAACAATATCTTATGAATAAAAACATCATATTTTATTAAAGCAACAAGTCCGTATTTTTTTTGCTAGTTTAGTATAATGATATACAATGTACTACATGCGATGCCCGCCGACATAATTATCTTCTTATACCAAGTCCTGAAAGTCAGGTAAATCAGAGAAACGTATTTCTACTTTTCCTAAGTGTTTCAAATGCTAGAAAATGCATATTGTATCTATTTTGATATCTGATTATTGTAATTATAACATTATAACGTATCAATTGATATATTCTATACGATGGTTGTATTATGGAATATTTTGAATTGCAATATTGTATCAATTATAGTTAATTAGCGTTGCTGTCTTTATATACCATTTTTCTAAAAAAAAAAACAAAAACAAAAAAAACAAAAACAAAAACAAAAAAAGATTCATAATAAATCTTTTCAAAACAAGCAGTAAAGTTGAAATCTCAATTTCTGTACCTTCCATTCATTGGTGCAAACTGACCCCTCATGAGGTATGTAGTGTCATCCTCTGTGCCCCACCCCAGTATTTATATTTGTGAAATAATACGAAACGGTACCAATAAATGAAACAGCACACACAAGTAAACACGCCATCCCAAACGACTAAACAGGAAGAAAAATAAACAAAAAAATTCCACATTTAAGACTCTACGTCTAGTATATATTAAACATAAAGGAGGCCTCTGGGTACAACAGATATGGTCTGGTTTACAGTCGGATTCGGGTCTTGTACACTGGCTTGTAGCATATAGAGCCATGTTGGTGAGGGCAATGGGTAGGAACAGTTCTGTATAATGATTATACATGATTGTTTAATTCAAAATCTTAAATCTCACACAACTAAACTCAACACGCAACTATACATACAACACAACACAATGCACATACAAACCAAATAAACGCTATACAAGACCCCCTCCCAGCCTACCCCTAGCACCTTCCCAACCCCATCCCTTCTCACACATTATACAAAAAGTACTTCAACATAAATCACGGGTTGTACATACTAGTATATATTTTAGACCCCTTAACCATTTCTATAGTCCGCACAATTCCTACTGATCCATCTTTCCTACATCCCCCAGTAGTAGCCGTCCTTTCCTACCATCGCTACCCTTTAACATAGGAAATCTAAAATCATCTCATAACACTCATTCGATCAATAAGCTACATCGTAACAAGTCTACTTCATTAACGTCTTAGTAAATTCCTACTAACACCTCCAATCTCTCCCGATACTAACCTCACAATCACAAAAGGTAATCTGATAAATGTCAGAAAGTGCACAGTTACATGAAGAAAGGAACAATATGGATTACAGAAAGTATGAAAAAGTGAACAGTATATAGAGTGGCAGATGGAAATGGAAAGAAGAATTACACTGGCATGGACACCAAATAAACAGATCACCACCAGTACCATACTAACTACTAACAAATAACCCATAGTCCATCGGATGGGACTTAAAATGGTGGCCCGTGTGAGAATGCCCAACTCGCATAATAAAGATCCCTCTGTGGCTTTTCGAAAAAGAGCAGGCGTTATAACACCGACCAAGATGTAAGGGTTAGGTTAGTATTAGGGATTATTTCATTAAGTAATTTTGACGGACTCTTCAGAAAAATATGATAATAAATAGAGTTTACGACATCATAGATATGATCACAACATATACCTTTTTACTTAGTAAACTGAGTAATGGAGAGTTTAACTTTCCTTAATCATGAATTATTAAATAAAGTGACATAAAAATATATGATCATACTACATAACATACGAAGTTTCATTTCCATACATGAAAAATGACAGTTCTGACGATATTACTGTCGCGTCAAAGACAGCTCGACAGACAGTTGTACGTTTTAAACAAACACCATGGGTACTTGTGATGCGTCTTCAGACACTATTGCCTAAAATACTCGAGCAAGTTAGCGACATCAAAAATATATTGCTATTATGATCGAATGAAGCGAAGGGCAGTAACTCTGAGAGATCAATATGCATGATGGAAGGTTAGAGATCAGCTTTCGCAGTCGTGTTTGTGACGAGGGAGACAGAAAACCACAAATTGCATGCGTTATTGTATCATTTAAGATTGAAATATGGAATTATGAAAAATCATGACCAATGTTTTTACAGATTTGGAACACCGTTGGGTAACGTGAAATTTTTGTGGTAAATGTGGGTTTTAAGGGTTTGCTTTAAAACACTACTTCTAATTTTCTGTGGCAATGAGATGGAATTTAACCCAACGTGTCACATTCTTAATAAAAAAAATATGGAAAAGAGTTTCTCTGTCTACTTATCATGCTATAAAAATTATTTCAATTATAACGTGTACAGAACTTTAATTTTATGACAGATTTTTAACTGATTACATAATGAAAAAATCGATTTTTTATTATGTTCGCTGGGTTTATTGCATTATGAACAGACGTACTTGTATCTTGAATTGTAAGTGAACATGAAAGTAAAAATGTTAGAGGATGTCTAAAACAAACGCTACATATAAAAAGTACAATATACCACCTACTGGGTATTGGAATGAGTCAAAATCATACAAAATACAAACATTTATTGACATACAGGACATTTCCGTGATAAGCTGCATTCTGCCACCTACATGTACATATATAAATATGCCTGAGAAATATTCCGAATCTAACTTATTTCCAATACAACACATTTCCAGTTTAAAATGTTGATACTGAGTGTTTACGGAGGGTAGCAATACAGTTCAAATAGTTTGTTTGATAGCCACCATGTTTTGGGACTTTCAGAGAACCCGTGACTACGTGGAAAAGAACAATTTGCTTGATTTTTATTTTCATTCAGGTCAGGAAGGGAGATAACTACACTTTCTGCTAAGATACTACATTTAACATCCAACTAAAACATATTAATAAATTTTAGATTTTACAACAACGTATACGTGTATGTTAATGAATAGATAGTTTATACATAGTGTAAATAAAACCCACATATGTCTATTTAATGATCTGTATATATAGTCTTTGTTCGCACTTTCCAGTTGATGACACCAAATCATATCGGCTGCTCCGAGATTAAACGATCCTAGATAAGTTTCAATATGTTATACGAGGTCTCGACACTCGTAGTTGCTTTTTCCGCTTAATGAAATATTTTGATTGACCATCTGTAACAACTCTGTCTGTACTTAAATTACAGTATTTGGGGGTTTTCAAATCGTTAAGGCATCTTCGTGTTCACGAACTTTCGCTAAACCTAATTTCAAGGTGGCTTTTTCTGCAACAGCTCGTTTGTTTGTTTTCCCGTTGGTTAATTTGGGGAATTCTTCAAACACCAAAAAATACTTTGGCATTTCTCCAAGACTGTCCAAAGTGTTTGTAACGAATAGGTTCTCCTGACAGAACTGCTTCACATCCTCTGGCATGAGATTCTCACCGGTTGTGAAGCACACGCATACTTCTTCGTAAAGTCTCTTGTCTGGTACAGCTACAATACAGACATCTTTGACCGCCTTCATTTTCTTGAGAAGGTACTCCAGCATACCAGGGTATATTTTGCGCGTGCCTCTAGAGATGGCGTCAGTTTCTCTTCCAATCAGTATTAGATGTCCATTTTGGGAAATTTCACCAACATCACCCGTTCTAAACCACTTATCCTTAGTGAACACTCCCTTTGTTAATTCATCGTTGCCAATGTAACATTGCATCGCATACGGTGTGCGGACTTGAACCTTACCCACGGTTCCCATGGGAAGTGGCATCTGCTGAGCGTTGACTACTCGAACTTCTACCCCATTATAGGGCAGACCGACGTCCCCGGCTTTTAAAACCTCTCCTTGCAACACGGGGCCGCGCCGGGCAATAGGAATGCATTCCGTGCACCCGTAAACAACTAAAACGCTGTGACAAAATCGTTCAGTTATACGTGTATAGAAATTGTCAATCATTTGCCCTCCGGTGGACACGTGACGAAGTCTAAACCCATCGTTCGTGAGAGCTGGTGGTAACTCAAGAAGATCCTGGATGATATATGGAAAGAACAAAGCTTCCGTGCATCGTTCTTCCTTGATCACCTGCCATAGTAAATCTGCATGTTTACCGTTCATCGTTATAGCCACGTCCATGAAAACCCTTGTGTTACTTCCGAGTATGTCCAGGATTGGAGAACCTCCAACCCAGCTGAAAGGTCGATCGTTGTACATTTTCATTTCATAATCCACTGAAGTCGGCACCCAAGAAAAGGGGAAACTTGCGAAACTAAAATGTGAATGGAGGACCAGTTTTGGATCTCCTGTGCTCCCAGATGTTGTATAAATGATAGCGGGATCATCAGGGAAGATGCTTGGAAGTTCCACTCCCTTCGTATCCTTTGACAATACTGCAGTCAAGGTGTTGGTCTTGGTAAAACCCTCCAGATTAGTTTCGCGGAGGAAGATTACGTTAATCCGATCTTCCTCTCTTCTATCATCCATTTGCACATTGCAATGCTCCAACATTGCCTTCATAGGAGCAAGAAGACAATCGTCCTTTCCTTGGTCAACTAAAATATACTTCGCACCACTGATCTGAAACAGTTTCTTCACATCAAGAGCTGTTTTCATATTAATAGTGCAATGCAATACCGCAGCCCCAGCCAGGAGTATCCCCAGAATTCCCACAAGCATCTCGAGGGTGTTTGGACCTATAAGGGCCACCATATCGCTCTTCTTAACTCCTTGTGACACAAGGTACCTTGCCAGTTGGTCAGCCTGTTCATATAGACTGGCATTGGTCAAAACGAACCTTGACCCGTCGAATTCTCGAAGAACAAAAATTTCCTGGTTCGGACGTTGACGGGCATTCTCTTGTGCCACCTTCCCTATTGTGGTATATCTATAGGGTTTGACAGGTGGCGTGTGGAGATAGCTTAGGCACGACGAATCAGCCATCTTGTCACTCTGGAAAACGAATATAAGAAATTACCTCTTGTTGTTAAGTATCATTACGTTTGCCATGTTAATTACATGTAATCGTCCATTCCTGATACAATTGTATATATATGTATATGTGTGTGTGTGTGGTTGTGTGTGTATAATGCAATCGGCTAATTTTGCATCAACAGAGGTGTTCGGTTTACAGTAGACTGACCCCTGTTTCTAGAATATTAAAATTTATAAACAAAACTGAGTTTTATAATTTTAATATTTTGGTTATTCTGATTCCTAAATGGGCATAAGCCAGTGTAAGAATTTAGCTATGGAATTCTTAAAAAAAAAACTTCAGGGCTGGTAGCCTAAGTTTCAAGGGGATATAGTCTAGTGTAAGAATTTAGAGGGCATTTTGTTTTATTTTGTATATTTCATTTCACATTCTCTCTACACACACATATATATTCTACACACACACACACACACACACACACACACACACACACACACACACACACACACACATATATATATATTATATATACATATATATATCGATATCTATTTCTAGAAGTAGGTTTTTATAAGTGATAATTATTTTGTAACATCCGTCTTTCTTTTTAACATTAAGATTATCTTTAAATAACATCAGTCATGCATATTAACAGCAAACAACAGGGTGGAAATTTTGTATATTTTGGTGTTAATTCTGAAATGACCTACTATACATTTAACTCTCACTTTCTTTATCTTTTTCATGTATTCCATATATACTGGACAAAATAAGTTAAGGATCATAAATTGTGACCATAATATCTTTAAAAATTCAAATCATGTATTGCCGGTAATTGCACTCGTAGTTTCTCCAATATGTACCTAAAGTCATGTCAAAGGTGAAAGCACGTGTATCTGAAGGTCTTGCCGTTCCGCTCTAGTTAACTATGGTGGTGTGAAAAACTGACTGGTCTATTACTACAGAGGAATCTTGCAGGTTTTGATTCTGTTACTTCTAAGCTAAAAAAAGTTGAATTTGGAAACATTTAATCAATTTGTAACGAAAACTTGAAAAACTAATCATGCGAAGACATTTAAATGATATGGAAGCCGCGCGAGCTATAGGGCTCCTTCAAGCTGGTCAAACTCAACGAAATGTGGCGGCACAGCTTCATGTTTCTCAGAGCGTGATTAGTAGGCTATGGAATCGCTATCAACAGACAAATAACGTCCGTCAACGCCCCAGATCTGGACGACCACGCTGTACGACAGCCCGACAGGACAGATTCATTTGCATCACGGCACACACACACACACACACACAAATCTAAGGATTTCATCCCAGAAAATCACAGACTCCATGCCTCTAATTTACAAGACCAGCACACACACACAATCCAGACATATATATCATTTGAATTGGCAATTATATTGGAGAAATGTTATGTTCACAGATATATATGACGGTAGGAGGAGGGTATGGAGAACCCAAGGAGAGCGCTATGCAGACTGCTGTGTTGTCCAGCATGATCGCTTTGGTGGTGGGTCAGTGATGGTTTGGGCAGGGATCAGTGTTGACTTCCATACAGACCTCTACATCATAGACAATGGATCTTTAACAGCTGTTCGATACAGGGACGAGATTCTACACCCTATAGTAAGGCCCATTGCAGGAGTTGTTGGCCATGATTTTATACTGATGGATGATAATGCTCGTCCTCACCGTGCTCGTGTGGTCAACGACTATCTTCAACGTGAAGCAATCGTTCGCATGGACTGGACAAGTCGTTCTCCTGATCTGAACCCTATCGAGCATGCTTGGGACACCTTGCAACGCCGGGTTTCAGCTCGACCTAATCCGCCACAGAACCGCCAACAGCTTATGATTGCTCTGCAAGAGGAATGGCAGCGCATCCCACAGATCAGCCACCGACGAATAATAAGGAGCATGTGCAGACGTTGCAGGGCAGTTATTGATGTCAACGGAGGTCATACTGCCTATTAAACTGCCAATTGCAGTTTGATGAGTTTTCCTTGTCTACATGATTAACTTGCTCTACTTCCTCTTACACTTTGATTTCAAGGGTGCTGTTACTCAGGGTTATCTGCTCTTGGTAGCAATTACCACAAATGAATTTGTTTTGTGTAATTAAAGACTAAAATGAATGTTCTGTCATTAAAATTTAAAATATAATCATATTATTATTTGTATGTAAAACTGCACTGTTTCAAGTTTATGATCCTTAACTTATTTTGTTCAGTATATATATAGTACCTTGTGTGTGTGTACACATGTGTAATGATGGGCCGTTTGGCCAAAAGATCATGATAAACGAATGTATGAATAAATACAGTACATATAGTAAATGAAGCATATGTAAATAACAACTGTAAGGTATTCACGGTTCAATGAACACACACTAACAAAGAAACATTCAGTATCCCTATATTATACTCCCGGGAAAAATGTATATCTTTATTTTGGAATCAATGTGTCTGACTGATCGTGCTTGATTGGGAAAATATACCGCTTGATTAACTCGGGGAATTCTATGTAAATGTAATTAACTTAAACAATTGAAACAGTGTAGGAATAATACAATTTGGTAATTACCACATATAACCAACCTTGATGAAAAACTTATGATTTGCTATTCTATCAATTAATATTATGATGGTTTTACAATAGAAAATGTTTATTTTGTTGATTATATTAGAGTTATAATGAAATTAAATATCAGATTCAGTTTGACACCACAAAAAATAGCAAGGACGGAAATCGTTGTTTGCTATTTCAAAAAAATGTGTGAGAAAATATTCTAATATTGTTTGTAGTATGTTGAACTGAGACTTGCCCGGGGGTGGGGGTTCACAAAGCGCTTGATATAGAAAAATTACCTGTAATGTTTTGCAAGAGAATCTTGGGAGTTGAAAAAAAGACGAAAAGCATTATGATTTATCAAGAACGTGGCATACTACGTTCATAAATAATTCGCAAATTTAGATGTTTTAAATATTGGCTCAAATTCCTTCTTTGTGCCATTCGCTGCCAAGCTTATTGAAATACTTTTACTGCCAGAGTGAAAGGAAGGGCGGTAACTCTGGGCGATCTGAATGGCTCAGACTTAGAAACTCCGATAATTGTATACTAACACTTGTTACGTAGATATGATTGAAATCGGGAGCGAATAGATTGATCGTAAAAGGAATAAACTATTTATGATAGGTTTAGGGTATTTATGGGAAAATGGTAATAATAACAATGATGTTTTCATCATCAGCTATATAATTTGTGAGAAGTAACGATTGGTATAGATCAAGACTAATCGCAGACATTACTTTTATCATGTAATTTACTGAACTGTCTGCGAATTTTGCCACGTTTTGGCAAAACATGCGAAAAAATAATGTTTTAGAAGAGTAATTCATTCATTATGATCATAATCATATTTGATACAAAACAGCCCTATACAAATGCTCACAGGTGACTAAAACCCGTATTAACAGCATGTTCTATTATTAGATACCAAATATGACATATAGGTAGGTATTTAAATTATCCAAATTGCTCCTATTAACTAAGATGACGACTTCTGAAAATGGCGAGAAGAGTTTACATGTAATCAAAGGACCAATGGGCATAAACGGTCATCTTCTTTACAAAGATATTAAGCAGGAACAAAAAGCCTAATGGGCATGCATTGCTCAGCAACTTGACAGCAAAAAGACTCATACAGGTATACTACAAACCTAATATCTAGAAGTCGTTTGAAAATTTGAACATATTTGACCATCGTGACCTTGAAAGCGGATAAAGGTCATCCATTTCTATAAAATCGGTAACCCTTAATCCTAGCATGCTACAGACACAATAATGATAATATGCTCCATAAAAAACGTTTAGAGAGAGAGAGAGAGAGAGAGAGAGAGAGAGAGAGAGAGAGAGAGAGAGAGAGAGAGAGGAGAGAGAGAGAGAGAGAGAGAGAGAGAGAGAGAGAGAGAGAGAGAGAGAGAGAGAGAGAGAGAGAGAGAGAGAGAGGTATACAAATACCATTTTCAATGGTTTGTTAGACGGTTGATCAGTTGGTACGGAGTTGATTGGTTGATTGACAGGTTTGTCGTCTCCGTGAGACTCCTCCTGTCGCCGGATATCGTCTCACCGACGAACATCAGTGTTCTGGCGACGTAAGTAGGCTACCTATATCCCCCTCAGAGGGATGGAACCGTCTGTTACGGTTATGAGGTCTAGTAGTGCCTTATCATATTAGTATGAAACATGTCAAGAGGTTGAAATGAAGGATAAGGGGCCATAGAGAGATCTTTAGCGTGCGAGTAAGGGCAGTTCTCACAGGGGCCACGGTTTGAAGTCCTGTTCGCCGGACTATAGTTAGTAGTTAGTGATCGATCGGTGAAGGTACAATTGTAATTAACACTCTTTTTTTTTTTTTTTTTTTGATGTCCCATCTTGAATCCTTTCCAATCATTCGACTAAGTTACTTGACTACTTTGCTAATGTCATTTGGCTGTATACATCTGTTCATTCCGACTTTTTATAATAATATATGTGATTAGTGTAAACGTGTTGATTAAGAAGGCATTAAGAGGTTAGGGGAAGATAAGTAACGTTGAATAGAAAATGATTAGAGTGAGAATTACTACAACGGTAGTATGGCTGGGTCATGTTTTAGGCTATGTATTTAGACGGAGAAATGTGTTAATTCTAACTGGTTACATTTTGGAGAAGGAACACAGAAAAAATTAAGAGAAGGAGATTTCCGACCTCCCAGAGTATCAGGTTACGTCACTAGTGAATGGATCAGAACTAATCGGCCAGGATGTCGTCTCTTTGTGTATCCGACCGGATTTGTTGGGGTTTTTTTTATCTATTTGTGCAAACATACAATCACTTTTAACATGTATTCCTGACGAGAAGATAAAGCGGTAGAATGTATTGTGTTGTTGTTACGTAATAAGAATATTTGACGATGAAACAAAGCTGCAGTGCACACTGCTTGTGGTGTATAGGTGTCTATTACGTAATTTGATATGTTACTTTATTTTTTAATGTCTCCCTTCGACATTTCCGCTTCTCTACCTAAGGTCAGAAATAATATATTGTTGCTAGAGAGGTTCGTCTATCTATACAAGTTATCTCCCTTAGTACATGATTATACGCTGCTCCATCTGGTTTAACATGCTAAGAACGTCAAATATAGAGACAAACTGATACAACACCAAATACCACAATATAATCATGTAGTTATTCAACTAATATCAGAACGAAAACGAGATGAAATTAATTAATACGAGTTTTTTTTAACTTGTGATGGTTCCGACAGGCCATTTTTAGTTTGCCTGGTTGTTTTCCTGCTTCTTAGTGTGTATAGCAATTTTTTTAAAGTTTTCTCCGTCTCTTTTGTTTAATTGCCTAAGAAGTTCTGGGGGTGTCAGATATCACGTTTTGCTTGGTTGTATGACAGTACGGATCCGGCCCTGTTACGTATATCAATTATACCCATGCACAAGTAAATTTTTGTTGCCCGAGGCATACCACTCCAGGTGCGTAGCTAGCGTCGCTTAGGCTCCAAGAGGGTCCAGAGCAGGTCCCTGGTGGTACATTAGCCAATCATTTCCACTAAACCGAACAAAATTTGCTATCCTATTTGCCAATACTGTATTGTGTGTACGCATGATTTGTTTGCACGAAGTTTTTGGAGCGTAGTTTGATGACAGCTGAACTGCAACATATCAACATTTGCTACATAACTATACATCAATCGATCAATTGTGCAATATTTGAAATGACCTACCTGTTTACAGCCTTTGCGCACACTAGCTAAATACAGGTTTGAAGACTCGGTGTATTTCAGATTATACATTGATAAACCTATAGAATGACGTTCTGATAAACACAATTACATAATTATAAACGAAGTTTGACCTTGGTGATCACGTGACATTATCGCAGTGGCTGTATGTGTGTATATATTACGCACAAAGCTTTATATATTATTTTCAGTAAAACGTTTGCTTATTACTCGCTTATGAAGGGTTTCGTGTCTGATACAAGATCGACTATTTGGTATCACCAAAGTATTTTAGTTCTTTACGGAAAAGTTCAATCAAGGTGTAATCTCACTAGATGGTCTCTTTCAGGAACAATGGAAGTTTGCCCTTGCAACAAATTATATAATAGTTGATAGGCGATTGTTGCTTAACATAAGCGAGTGAGGAAACGCATCCCCAAAAGTAAACCTAGGGATACAAAGCGTACAATACCATTAAGCAAGGAGACAGTGAGCAGCATTAAAAGAAAGCACCGACTATGGTAGAGGTATATGCAAGATAGAAGTAAAGAAAAGCACATGGGATATTGCAAGGCAAGAAACAAGGTTAAAGCGCTAATAAGAAAGGAACGTAAACAAAAGGAGCGACAAGTGGCTGAGTCTGCAAAGGCTAATAGCAAAACTTTTGAAAATATGTAAACTCAAAGAGAAAAACTAGGAGCGCTATTTCAGAATTACAGCCAAAGACACAAGAGGGGACCTTCATAGCAAGAGCGGATGAGGAGAAAGCGGAGGTGCTTGCAAACTGTTTGGCGGTGTTTTTACTGAAGAGGACTGTGAAAATATGCCAGTTTTAGAAAGAAAGGTTGTAACAAAGGATTCTATTGAACCTAATACAATAGAGGAAGTAAATAAGCTACTCGCCAAGCTGAATGTGACGAAATCACCAGGACCACACAAATTGCAACCAAAAGTATTACATGACCTACGCAGTGTGATTGATGAGCCTATTTTCAAAATATTCGAAAATCGTTAGAGACAGGATTCATACTAGAGATTTGGAAAACAACAAGAATTACAGCGATATTTAAAAAAAGGGAAAAAAGTTCAGCTTCTAACTATAGACCAGTCAGCCTGACCAGTATTCTCTGCAAAGTAATGGAGAAAACAATAAGATCACGTATTATAGACTATATGGAAAAAAACAATCTATTTAGTGACAAGCAATTTGGATTTCTCGGAGGGAGGACAACAGCAGTACAATTGTTGAGAGTAATAGATAACTGGACGGAAATCCTAGACAAAGGAGGAGTCATAAATACAGTGTACATGGTCTTCATGAAAGCCTTCGATAAGGTTCCACACCGTAGACTTATGATTGAAAATGTACAGAAAATATGAGAGATTATGTGTCTGGGTGGAAAATTTTCTATCAAACAGAAGACAATGTGTCCAAGTAAATGAAGAGCAGTCAAAATGGCATGAAGTTACCAGTGGGATACCTCAAAGATCTGTGTTGGAGCCAGCTCTATTTGTCATTTTTATAAATGATCTACCGGATTGTGTACTATCAAAAGTGTATTTGTTTGTAAACGACACGAAAATTTTCAGAGAAATGAAGGACGGCAGTGATGCGTTACTACTACAACAAGACCTCAACCAGCTACACCAGTAGAGTGAAAGATGGCTGCTTAAATTCCATCAAGATAAGTGCAAGGTCTTATCCATTCAAAATAAAGGGAAGCAGGTTGAGGAATCAAATTTTAGCATGTTAACAGAAGACAATAGCAGAAAGATTTTGGAAAACGTTGACAGTTAAAAGGATATCGGAGTTACCATCGATAAACATCTCACATTTGAAAAACTAATACAATTACAGGTCAACAAAGCAAATCAAATAGTTGGACTTATTAGGAGAATATTGTTATACATGTACAACAAAACCTTCTACCTACTGTTCAAGGTACTAGTTCGGCCCTACCTGGAGTATGCTAGTTCGGTCTGGTCACCATACAGAAAGTGGGACACGGAGCTACTAGAGAATTGCAGAGAAGTGCAACAAGAATGCTACCACAGCTTAAAGACATGAACTATGAAGAGAGAATAAAGATGCCAACACTTAAATATCGAAGAAGGAGAGGCGACATGATCGAGGTCTTGAAAATAATACAGGGAATATAAAATAAGAAAGTAACAGAACATCTACTGAAATTAAATACAGCCAGGAACACCAGGATGAATTCACTAAAATTCAATAAACAGCAGTGCAACAGGGACGTCAGGAAAATTACACAAATTATGATAAATTGGAGCTGCCTATAGAGGACCGACAGGTCCTGCATGCAGAGACAACATAAGGCAACAAAAGGCAAGGCAAGGGTTAACATGTTCCGTGAGGTAACGACCGTTCAACTTCACCGAGTATTCACAATAGCTGTATATATAGACGATGTACAAAAATGTCTACAATGTAAGATATATTTGCAGAAAACAAATCATTTTATCATGACAGAGAGGTATATGTGTTTCATACGTCTTTGATCATGACAAATATTATTATATTTTAGAATGTAAAATGTCTTGATACACAAGATACCTAAAAAATTCTTTATGTCATACATGACCAATTAGTAAACACATTATCGCTATTTAGTACACCGCGTGAAGCACCATATGCTACCCCGCAAATGTACGTCCTTGTTTTATATATCACATCGGAATATTCTCAATGCGATGAAGTACCTATAACCGGTAATGTTTCTTCACATCACTTATATATTGGTCAAATGTGCAATATTTGAAATGACCTACCTGTTTACAGCCTTTTCGCACACAAGCTAAATACAGGTTTGCAGACTCGGTGTATGTGTTTCATAATGCACGTAATTTTAGATGTTTTGTGAGTCGTCACACTGCATAAAACTAGGTTATTAAACAAAGGTAGGGTTTCCAGCAATGATAATGCTTCATAGAAGTCGATCTAAGGATTTGTTCTCCCTTCAACACCACTCACAGATACATTGCTTGGTGCCATCACAGTTGATTGCCTTGGCTTTACATATAATCCAAATTAATCGATGACACACTTGCCTAATTACCTAATTACGTAACTTAAATACTAAACTATGAACGTCGATTGTCAAAACTTGCATAGCTTTACATTGTATAATGTAAACAGATCAAAAGTATAAATTCAGTGCTTATGTGCATAACGAGCCGATTTCAGATGATGCAGTGATAAACGAATAGAATGACGTTCTGATAAACACATTTGCATAATTTTGAACGAAGTTTGACCTTGGTGATGGCGCGACTTTATCTCAATGGCTGTACGTGTGTATATATTACGCACAAAGCTTTATATGTTATTTTCAGTAAAACGTTTGCTTATTACTCGCTTATGAAGGGTTCGTGTCTGATACAAGATCAATTATTTGGTATCACCAAAGTATTTTAGTTCTTTACGGAAAAGTTCAATCCGTGTCCACCAGGTGAAATTTCACTAGATGGTCTCTTTCACGAACAATGGAAGTTTGCCCTTGCAACAAATTATATAATAGTTGATAGGCGATTGTTGCTTAACATAAGCGAGTGAGGAAACGCATCCCCAAACGTACACCTAGGAATACAAAGCGTACCATCCCATTAAGCAAGGAGACAGTGAGCAGCATTAAAAGAAAGCACCGACTATGGTAGAGGTATATGCAAGATAGAAGTAAAGAAAAGCACAGGGGATATTGCAAGGCAAGAAACAAGGCTAAAGCGCTAATAAGAAAGGAACGTAAACAAAAGGAGCGACAAGTGGCTGAGTCTGCAAAGGCTAATAGCAAAACCTTTGGAAGTATGTAAACTCAAAGAGAAAAATAAGGAGCGCTATTTCAGAATTACAGACAAAGACGCAAGAGGGAACCCTTCATAGCAAGAACGGATGAGGAGAAAGCGGAGGTGCTTGCCAACTGTTTGGCAGTGTTTTTACTGAAGAGGACTGTGAAAATATGCCAGTTTTAGAAAGAAAGGTTGTAACAAAGGATTCTATTGAACCTAATACAATAGAGGAAGTAAATAAGCTACTCGCCAAGCTGAATGTGACGAAATCACCAGGACCACACAAATTGCACCCAAAAGTATTACATAACCTACGCAGTGTGATTGATGAGCCTATTTTCAAAATATTCGAAAATCGTTAGAGACAGGATTCATACTAGAGATTTGGAAAACAGCAAGAATTACAGCGATATTTAAAAAAAGGGAAAAAAGTTCAGCTTCTAACTATAGACCAGTCAGCCTGACCAGTATTCTCTGCAAAGTAATGGAGAAAACAATAAGATCACGTATTATAGACTATATGGAAAAAAACAATCTATTTAGTGACAAGCAATTTGGATTTCTCGGAGGGAGGACAACAGCAGTACAAGTATTGAAAGTAATAGATAACTGGACGGAAATCCTAGACAAAGGAGGATCATAAATACAGTGTACATGGTCTTCATGAAAGCCTTCGATAAGGTTCCACACCGTAGACTTATGATTGAAAATGTACAGAAAACATGAGAGATTATGTGTCTGGGTGGAAAATTTTCTATCAAACAGAAGACAATGTGTCCAAGTAAATGAAGAGCAGTCAAAATGGCATGAAGTTACCAGTGGGATACCTCAAAGATCTGTGTTGGAGCCAGCTCTATTTGTCATTTTTATAAATGATCTACCGGATTGTGTACTATCAAAAGTGTATTTGTTTGTAAACGACACGAAAATTTTCAGAGAAATGAAGGACGGCAGTGATGCGTTACTACTACAACAAGACCTCAACCAGCTACACCAGTAGAGTGAAAGATGGCTGCTTAAATTCCATCAAGATAAGTGCAAGGTCTTATCCATTCAAAATAAAGGGAAGCAGGTTGAGGAATCAAATTTTAGCATGTTAACAGAAGACAATAGCAGAAAGATTTTGGAAAACGTTGACAGTTAAAAGGATATCGGAGTTACCATCGATAAACATCTCACATTTGAAAAACTAATACAATTACAGGTCAACAAAGCAAATCAAATAGTTGGACTTATTAGGAGAATATTGTTATACATGTACAACAG